CCAGTCATCACCCGAAGACGATTGTAGATACTAACAATCGAAACGTCGTGAACTAACGTGACTTGGAATCTCTCCACTTTTTATTTTTATTTTCGTTTTTCATTTCTTTATTTCTTATTTATTCAATTGTTCTATTTTTACTTGTATTTTATTTCACTATTATTTCATTTCAGGTTTATTTTGCTTAATATTATTGTTATTTTCAGCTAGTCATTTTCAATTCTTCTTTTTTAGTTGTTTCAGGGATTTCAAATCATTTTATATAGTAGACAGTGGAAGTCCGAACTAATGAAATTAATCTACACATTTCTGAAAAGTATTGTTGATATATTGATATTTTCTTCCTCTCGGTCAAAGTTTTCCAATTATTTCCAAAAATCCATTACATCTGGAAATATAAGTTCATTTCAATTAAGTATTTCAAATAAATTTTACTAATCTCTCAAAAACACCCATCACAAAAAGACTGGTTCTACAAATATTGATTACAAGTTATTCCTTGGCAATTCATCTTCATCCGAAGTATTTTATAAGTGTTATTTATACATATCTTCAAATTTCGCAATGATTCATTGAAATTCAAAGTAACCAGATTTCTCCATAATCAGAGTGAGCTTGCTAGAAGCAGTCCTCTCATGTCTATTTTTTCTGAATTATCTATGAGGGTAGCTTTTCAGGATAGCTCAGTTTACTCTATTGAATGGTCCAGTGATATGAACATTCATTCATATTATTTTTCTAGTTCATCTATCTATCTATCATTATGTCTACTACGGCTGCAGCTGCGCTACTTTTTCCGTCAACCTTATTATGGTTCAAATGAATATTGATTTCCAAAGAATGTTCAATTAGCCAACTAACGATAGGAATTGTTAATATTTCGAGGTCATTGAAAATCTCAAATATTGTTGGGAACGAAAGTTGTTGGCTTCCAATTTCTCCATCTAAATACAAAAAATTTGGGATATCTCCAAAGGAAGGAAGGCAGCTATCAATTTCAAAAGTTAACTCTTTATAAAGATGTGTAGATCATGCAAAGAAGTAACTTTCAGTAACAGCTATTTTGATATAAACATTGAATTACACGAAAGAAAAATACTTTTGAAACAAATACTTTTATATGAAATCTGAATTATACGGAAAACATTGTTTCGATTTCGTTTGTATTCCAAATATTCGTATGGAATCGAATCAGATATCATTCACAGGATTTCTACACAATATAATTAATGAAAAAAGCGAAATTTTACTTACATGGAACACTGTCATCCTCACTGGTAGACACCCGGATGTTTCTCCGTAAGACACTTTTCTTATTGGCTTTTCAGTACCAAATAATTGATCATTTCACAGTTCATCATTATGCAGATGACACTCAGTTATATTATCGATTTCCTCCAAGTAACTGGCAGGTGGCAATCGATCCACAAAAGTTACTGGATCTATCTAAAGTCCATAACCTGAAATTGAATTCTAAAAAATATCAGCTGATACTTTTTGGCCCGAAACACAAAAGGTGGAAAATTGAAGGAAGAATTGAAATCAAACTTGGACAAGACTTAGGTACTACAAATAATTACAGAAAGCAAGAACTTGGGCTTGTGGCTAGATGGTGATCTGAGATTTCACAAACCAATAAATTCACTTTGTCGTAGCTCGTACAGTATCTTACGTCAACTCTATCAAAGTAGAGATATTATGACTTCCAAAATGAAGTTGAAACTTTGCGAAACCCTCATATTGTCTAGATTAGGATATTGCGATATAAGCTACGGGCCTGCTTTGATACAAATTGACGTAAATCGCTNATTATTATTATTTTTATTATTATTATTATTATTTATCAAATACGGATAACATCATACTGATCATTGAGGAATCTTTTAATTTTTTTTCAACAAATTTCACCACTTGCTGGCCAACAGAATTGATAACTTTAACATATTTCATTTACTACAGCGACTGTTGAATCATCGTTCTCCCAAGTGTGTTATTTTTTCTCACAGGATTATTCCAAAGAACTATTATGGACAGCGGCACATCTTTATGTTTATGGTCTCTTGCCAGGGATTCCAGATCAACAGCATTCAAAATTGGCAGCACGTTAGGAATAGTAACCAACAATTCCACTAAATTGATAACAGGATTGAAGAATATCAGTTACGAAGCGCTTCAAGAGGCCAGTTCAAGAGTTTATACACAGGTAAAATATGAATCTATTCTTTTGGACATAATATTTCAATTCACCGTTAACAAATTATCACAAATCGTCAATCATCGTTGGGTAAACATTATAAAAAAAAACTTCATACAGAGCGGTTCAGAGGTTGGTCATAAAAAACGTACCGTAAGTCAGAACTACAAGAAAATGAACCTTTCGCAAAAATTGTATTTATAATGGGTCTAAGGGTCAGACGGCCGATTGCTCTTGGACCTTATTAGTCCCACCCTTTTTCAACTATTGGTAGAATCTTTGTATTATTGAGTACCGGTATCGATGTCTTGTTGATATTTAGGCTCCCTTCCTTACGCTTGAGATGATTCTTATGTTTATGTGTTTCTAAGGCCTCTGTGAATGGCCTCGGATATTAACCCTCTGGTTTTATCAAGAACTTGTGTGTTCGAAAGCAATGTCATGGCTGCCCTCTGCAAAACTATACGGTATTCGGTATACTCCTAGGGTATTTACAGATCTCTGGGGTCTTCAACTGACCTAAGACTATCTTCTATCGTTATTATGAGCTTAAAAATAGCCCTAACTCCTTGTTTTCCGAGGATCCTCCCAATTCAGTCGTCACACCGCTTAAGTGAGGCAGAAGAGTTCTTCCGTTGGACGTTCGTTCCAGTGTCAACATGAAGTATTTCTGTATGGATCGTAAGTCTCAGTGAATTTTCGCCCGTTACATTCGTTACCCAGAGAAGCAGATACATGTCGGAGGGCAGTGGGACGCGCATGGGGTCTTTCAACCCGTGTGGTCACCTCGATCTACACTGCAATAATGAGACATATGTTAACGTACGGAGCCATTTCATGGGGACCGAAAGTTCTACAAGCAACGACCATCTGAAAATTATATCAAATACAGCGATTTGCTTGTTTAAACATCACAGGAGCCATGAGAACAACACAAACCGCGGCAATGGAATTAATTACTGGTCTGATCCCTCTGGACCTGTACGTTAAGGAGGTTGCGTTAATGGCCATGTTACGATTGCGCACGGCTAGTGTAAACCTCGAAGTAGGAATGGGTCAATTGAGGCTGAGCCTATGGCGAGAAGCGCTCACTGCTCAACCTCTGCTGCAGGCAACAAGTGATGCAATTAAACCCAGGTTTGTGTTTAATAAACCCTACGAAATACAAATAAAACAGTTCACTAACACATCCAAAAAACGTTTCTACCTTCCTTTTTCTCTCCATTATGAACTAGATTTTTAGGTTCCAGGAATTCAAATATCCCAGAACATGCCAATTCCTTTTTCCCGTGACTCCCAACCACGAAGCCACCAGCAATATATCGTAACCAGCAGGAGTGTCGGACCAGCGAATGTTCTAGAGCTCATCGTTCGAATTGTTCCATTTAGAAGTTGGCAACTACTGCACTTAGCGGGCTTCTCATTGCAACTCCTTCTTTCTATTTCTTTTTATTTCACTAGAAGTATGTTAATGTTAAGCAATATTCAGATGATGATGATACCATATATCACCACAAATATAAGGAAATGCAATGGAAAGTCCACTGAGTCCAGAAGTTGCCAACTTCCATATGGTACAATTCGAACGACGAGCTCTAGAACACACCTACTGACTACTATATGTTGATGATACCTTATTTGTCACCACACAATTCCGCTTTCTGCTTCGATAAGTTTGTTGGGGTTAAACTGTTAACACCAATATGCCTTGGCACAATCATGTCGCTGTATTACAAAGGCTGCTACTCAAAAGCTTGGAACACTGATCTGAACCAGAAAACTGTACACACTTCGGCAACTTCTGATGCTTCATGGAGCTGAGATCAGACCTTCTTTAGAGTATTCTTCTCATGTATGGAGTTCTGCCCCCAAACATGACCTGAAGTTGCTGGATTCCATCCAGAAAAGAGGCATCCGCCTGATTGGAGACGATAACATTACGTGCAGCCTTGATAGCCTGGAACATTGAAGAAAGGTTGGAGATTTGTCTCGCTTCTATATATACTTTCACGAGAAGTGTTCAAGTGACTTGGCACATTTGATTCCACCGAGAGCGGTGCATATTAAAAAAAGAATGAAATCCTCCTCAATACAAGAAAATTGGTTGCAATAAACTTTTATTGATAAAATAGTGCAAGAAATGAATCAATACATAAATGGAGAGAACAATGAAGACATGGTAATAAAGACATCGATCAGCGCTTGTAATTTTACCGAAATCTCGATTCTACGAGCAATATGGATGGTAATCTGCCATTCAATGTGTGTTTTTCTGACCAATTTACTTTCTTCTTGAACGGTGTGATCCCTCAACCGGTAAAACCGAAAGCTCTAATCATTTGAACGTGCCGACTGGCATTTTCTGTAATTTCTCAACGGGGTTCTTTTTTCCTTCTGGAAATTCAACAGGTGATGTTTCTAAATTCACTGCAGAATGCTATCGACCCAACTCTGACTGATATCACCGAGAATGATATTTTAACAAAACGATGCTCCTCCATAGTATTCACAAAATGTACATAAATGTTCAAATGTGTTTGTTTCGATAGTATTTTTCTTTCATGTAATTCAATGTTTATATGAAAGTAGCTATTTCGTGATGGTTTTTTTTCAGTTCGTGCCTGAAAGTTACTTCTTTGCATGCTCTACTACACATCCTTGTATAGAATTACCTTTTTGGAATTGATTGCTTCCTTGCTTCATTTGGAAGATTCCCCTATTTTCTGTATAAAGATGCAGAAGTAGAAAGCTAAAACATTTCTTCCCCACTTTAGTATGCTCAGTTTGACGTAGTTTCTGTCCAGTTTTGTTCATTGTGAATTAAGATACAGATGATCAGAATACTTCCTCTTCAATATTTCTATGATTTTTATGATTCTAAAGTAGGTTAGGTTAGGTCCAAAGTGAGTGGGTTTATTCGACCCTCCACCGCAACCCACAAGGATTCCCACCTTGATATCCGCGACAACCTTCCCATATGAGGGTTTTTGCACGTCAGCTACACCTGACGATGCTTTAGTTTCAACCGTACAACAACCGTTGCCTCTGGTTTTGGTGAATCATCACTTGAGCGCAAACGTTTGCTAACCTGCTCATAAGGGGTTTTTTCCACATTCTGAGACAAATTCTGCACACGCCGCTCAATAATTTGGTGCAAGACGGTTTCATAAGGTACCCTGCTCTTCAGAAGATGGCTCAGTCTTTTCCTAGCTGCACCACCAAAACTTTTTTTAGGTTCAGTTATTTGGATCAGGAGTTGGAAAGTTGAGAAGCTCTCGCCCCTGATCTAAATTTACAAGGAGGTCAGCTGGAGTTGTAAGTTCGACATCTATCTCCTCTGTAGACTCAGCGTCTGTCCATAAAAGTAGCTAGGGAAAGGAGATCAATCACGGCTGAACCCCGCATTACCGTAACAAGGCGATGCTACGACGAGAGGGCCCCCGGTATCTCAGAGGCTCCGTAGAGAGAGCTGATAGGCCCAGTGTCACACCTTAGGATTAAGCTATCCTTGGGATGCCATTGAGTTGGGGAATAACAGAACCACAAGTGATTCTGTCATTCCTTTATACAGCGGAGCTACGTGAAAACAGGCATCCGATTGCCGGTTTGCTCAACCCCCACATCCCAAGCCAATAAACTTGCCAAAAACAGCATGCACAGTGATTCAGGCAGTGGAAGATGGACAAGGACAGCCAAGCCGCCCAAAGTAACATAAATTACATTTTATTTACCTTTTTGAGCAGTTCGTTGTTTGATATGAAGTTTAGGTGTTCGATGTTGTATATTACGAAAGTGCTTCTTACATATTTCTTCAAATGATTATATTCGTAGATAAAATAGATACATATAGCTATGTATACTGATTTTTCAGTTTTCATTGATTTTTCAGGTCACCTTAAACAATGTTCTTGACGGTTTCGCATTTGGACCAGTACAAGAAGTAGTTCATGATGGAGCATTTTTCACTGGTAAAAGTGAGGAAATGTTGCGAACAGGAAAATATACGAAGGTTCCAAGTCTTCTTGGCACACTTGCAGACCGGTTTCGGGCTTATCAGCCACTCATCAGTGCAAGATAGTGACCATCATCGACCTAAAGTCAATGATATTCCACAATTGAGTATTTCAGAGTATTTCATTTCTCTTCCAAAGTTGGAGTGAACGTCACAAAATGTCTCTCCATCTAGTGGACGAGGTACTAACCAACTGCATATCCGTAATTTGCCCGATTCCTCTGAATAAGGAAGAAAAACTTTCTTATTAGTCCTGCACTGATGCCTGTCGGATATAATCCAACGCCCTTCTAGATATTAGCCAGGGGAGTAGTTGTTTTCTGATAGGTGTCAATCCATTCAACCTACTGGCTTGAACGTTTAAAGTTCATTTCTTTAGATTTGTTTACTGCCTGTTTTCAAGCATAGTCCACTGACTAATAAGAAAATGAGTAGCTGAAAATAACAATTATATTAACCAAAATAAACCTGAAGTAGAAATAGAACAACTGAATAAATAAAATAAAGAAATGAAAAAAGAAAGAAAATAAAAATAAAAAAGTGAATAGATTCCTAGTCACGTTAGTTCACGACGTTTCGATTGTTAGTATCTACAATCGTCTTCGAGTGATGACTGGACTGATTCCTCTGAGAGATGACTATTTATAGGTCGTAAATTATAGGAGTACTTTCACTTATCCCTGCTGGTTCCGTGGGAGATGACCGTTTTGACGAGAGTTGGCCATTTTTCGCTTGATGATAGGTTTCCATATGTTGCGTATTTCTAGGCTGGCTTGGCTGAATATGTTGTTGGACAACATGTATGCGGCATCCTTGAATTTTCTCCTAAACTAATGTTCCTGTCTGTGCAAGATCTCAGCTTGGGACCACTCAATGTTGTGTTGATGGGTCCAAACATGATCTGCTATTCCTGATTTGCTGGTTTCCCCTCGCTGTGTGTGTTTCTTGTGCTCGGCAATGCGAACATTTTCAAAATTACTACACACATAATCAATGCGGGTAGAGGTGTACTGAGAAACACGCGTGTCTGATTCAACGTGCATAGTCAAGTTGAATGTAGACAGTAGGTTTTTCATGTCTTCGGTAGCTGGTGAAACTTGATTACTGAAATTTATATTGAAATCCCCTGCTAATATTATGGAACAATTCACAGGTGAGTCCGATAATATTAGTTCCAGCTTATTCAAAAAGAGCTTTGGGTCTGTAGAGGGGGATCGGTATAAGCATAGGATATATAAATTACTTTTCTTACAATGACATAAGGAGAATTCAAAACTTTTTTCTTCTAACAAATCTTTAAACTTATCAACATGGGTGAAGGAAAAAGTATTGGAAACAGTATTTTTTATTAGGATGGCAGTTCCGCCATGCGCAGAGGTAATTCTTGAGTACCTGGATGACATAGAGTATTCCGGGATGTGAATAGGTTCCTCTTCCTTACACCAATGTTCTGTAAGACTGGTGTAGCTAATGATGCTCCTGAAAAGTTGACGAATCATTGGAACCATGTCATAAAGGTCTCAGTTGTCATCCAGCCTCGAACATTGCATTCTGCTGTCGTTCCTGGAGTAGCTTGATCCAATAACTCCTTCTTCATTCTTTGTCGAGGAAATACTAACATGGGAGGCATAGAAGTACCAGCCGCATTAAAACATATCTCAACCGTAATCCTCTGTCCTCGTTCTGCTGATGAAAGCGATCCTACCTGTTTTCTTCCCTTTTCTGCAATAACTTTGCTCTTTGTTTTAGACACACATGATATTCCAGTCTCGCAATTGTATATTCTGTTTGGCGTCAGATTATATTTGTCATATACTTCCCCAAGCAAAGAATAGAACTGATCCACAGCCACTTTGTAAGACCCCATAGCTCGTGCTGCCGATGTAGCTTCTGGTTTTCGGATGGATAAATCCGGGTGACGCTACAAAAATCCTTTCATCCAATCTACGCCAGATATCTCTTCATCGCGGTTAAAATTATGTGCCTTGCAATTTTTTTCCGCCGATACGCTAGTTTTCGTGAAACGACGGTGGTCAAACGTTTTTCCATTTCTTTAATAAACCTCACGAGCTCATCTTCTTCTTGTTTCGAAAATACTGGCTTAAAATTAACTGGAGTTGAGTTAAGTGGTCTGTGGAACACCGTATAGCTGGGCTGCTTTTCTGTAGCCTGCTGATTTACTTAAAACGGCATCGATTGCCTGTTTCATGCTTCCTATAGGCCTCTCGAACTTTTTTTTATACGTTCTCACCATTTTCAAGCCTAAAACAAGATAAGACCTATGAACAAAGCATTTTTTTAAGATCAAAAGGGCATAATGGGGACAGCAGTTAAGGGGCATAATGGGGCACCCCATCTTGCCCCGTAACCATATCTCCGTTATGCGCCTATAACTAACATTGCTTTAATTACAGATTTATAAAAACTGTCAATAGCTACAGTGATTTTGTTCAAAACATAACAACACACAAAATCGCTACAAAACACACTACAAAATGGTCAGAAATCTACACTCAGATGATTATAACACTGAAAATTCGTTTTCTAATCGCATTCTTAATTACAAGCATAGTTTTGATATTGATTCTGATTCAAATATTTCTCACGTTTGCCAAATAGGCACTTTACTTAATTCACTTGAAATTTTTGAAATCAACTCTGCTATTAATAACCCTATCGTTATATCTTTTAATGAACGAGTACAGTTTGATTGCCAAACGTTTCTCAATTCCCTTAATTTTAACTAAATTTCCCCTGCCTTGATCTTCCATAAACCCTCATTTTTGTAACAAGATGGCATGTATGGATGGTATGGGATCTGTTTGCTCAAAACACGAGTTGATTTGTATGCGGTGTTCCTTCTCCTGTTGTGTTCTGTGTTCACAAATCTCTTGTCATTGTTCCATGTCATCTCGATTTTTATCTCTTTATATATTTTGACAGTTGATCAGTTCGAATATCTTTCTTCATAAGTCGTTTTCATGTGCCTTTTGATGATTTTGATGTTAATGAACGGGTATAAAGGCTCCAAGCCTCCCATAGTTCAATCTTTTAAAGATATGATGTTATAACTTCCGTCGTTTTTACTATCTTTGAAAACATTTTTTTTTCATCATTATTAACATGTCATTGTGACCATTTATTCATTGGTAACATGTGATAATTTTCTTTTCCCCACTATAAAATGTTCTTCTTCATAATTTTAAATAATTAGCTGATGATAAACCTAAATAACTTCGAAACATGTATTGATTGATGGTTTTACCGTTCTAACATCTGAGGGGGATAATACATTGTGGAAACGACTTTGAGTTTTTATGCTTCACAGTCTTAAATTAGTTTCGAATTATTTTTTAGTTTGTGTTGATATTGAAGCATATTGAAGCGTATTTTGAACTATTATTTATTTTCCACTTGGCAGTTTGGCTTGCTATTTCGAGCCCATTTGTTTTAATATAAACTATATACACATGCGCAGATAGGGTGGTTTGCTAACACAGATACTGTGTGACGTAATTACTGAAATTATTGTATTGTTACCGATTCTTGATGAGTCTATAGAATTCAAAATAAATATGTCCGTTTAAAGTTCGTCAAAATCCAGTCCAAAGGAGTCGGTTACAAATAAATATACAGGTGCAGCTCATAAAGGCGTGATATTCAATCCTGGCGATCCTGATCAGGATAATGAGGTAAACTTCTGAAATTATTGTATTGTTACCGATTCTCGATAAGTGTACAAAGTTTAAAATGAATCTGTCCATTCAAAGTTGGTCAAAATGGAGTCAAAAGAAGTCGGTTACAAACAATTGTACAAGTGAAGCTAATAAAAACGTGTTATTTAATCATGGCGATCCTGATAAGGATAATGAGGTAACTGATACAATTATTGTGTCTTCAGCGATTCTTGACAAGTTTTCAAAATTTAAAATAAATCTGTCCGTTTGAAGTTGGTCAAAATCGAATCTAAAGGATTCGGTTTCGAACAAAAATACAAGTGGAGATAGTAAAAGCGAGTTATTTAATCCTGGCGATCCTGATCAGGATGATGAGCTGAACTTATAAAATTATTGTATCGTCACCGATTCTTGATAAGTGTACAGAATTTGAAATAAATGTGTCCGTTAAAAATTAGCCAAAATCGAGTCCAAAATTACAAACAAACATTTAAGTGAAGCTGATAAAAGCGTGTTATTCCTTTCTGGCGAAACTGATCAGGATAATGAGATGAACATATGAAATTATTCTACTGTTAACGATTCTTAA